CCCTGATTCCTCTGTGCACTTGGTTACGTGTATAACATCACTTCAAAGCATAAGTCTCCTGAAAGAAGTGAATACAACAAAGTGGTTAAGGAGTTCTGGCAGTTTTGTGGGACATGTATCTTAGACTATGGCCTCTATGTTAGTTTAGCCCAAATCTTTGTAGCTTGGAACAATGAGGTTTTACTATCTGAGACTTTCCTGAGGATGGAGTAGAGGCACCACCAGCTGTAGGATGTTTTTCACAGTGTTGTAACATAGCTTAGTGCTTGAGGAACCTGATGATGAAATGGACAGGGTTAGTCAGGACATACAAAATAAACATGAATTATGGATATTTTTTGACACTTGTATTCTTTATTGGACCATTTCCAGGACATTTCAATAAACCTGTACTGGTAACTGTCACTTTATATTTTTCAATAATAAAGTTCTTCGTGTTTGCTTACTTCATGGAAATTTGTCAGAACAGAGATTTGTCTGTTGCAAAGGGCATATTACCTATCACTATGGTACGTTATGGATGCTGAGCACATTTCTGTAAGAGTTAATCRAATAGAGTCTTTTATTTGGGGGTCCATTTACTCTTCTGTTCCCTCTGACTCCAAGGTTAAGGTCTAGAACTCCTGCTGTGCTAAAGATTGCATAATATGCAGCATAGTACTGCAAAGGCAACAAGTCCCATAACCCGTTAGGTTAAAATAAAGTGCACCCACATAAGCTCTTCTTAAGAGCAGAGCCTCTAAAATCAAATTCTGTGCATCAAACTGAATAGAATATGTAACTAATTAGACTTCACTATTTCAGCCTGAATGGGCTCTCAAGAGGCACAAATGTAAATTGGGAGGCATATTGTTGATTCAAAGGTGACATTTATTTTTGTTCTGCACAATTTCACAGGCACTAAGTCATGAGGGTGCTAACATTTTTAAGTGAGTCTTACTAATTTCAGTATGCAAATTTGCACAAACTTTATGTGTAGTCTTAAGTAGAGTTATTGCTCATTGCTATTGCTTTTCTCTGTACACTTGCTCATTTCTCTGCCTTGTATTTAATGTCATGCTAAAGTTTAACTATTCCTCTACAAAGTTACTATTTTAACTATTCCTCTACAAAGTTACTATACCACACTTTCAGCCTTAGTCCTCTTCTGTGTTTTGTGAATCAAACAGCCTAGGTAGTCTTTTGGGGGACAACCTCTTGCCTTTTTTATTGTTTTTAGTCTTCGGATTGTTTCTGACACTCTAGGTTCCCTCTAATAACTGAGGTGTTTTAAAGCCCACTGCTTATTAATTTGCAATAAAAATGTAATACAAGTATATTGACCCAGGTACATCTGAATTATCCTTGACACAGTCTAGACAATCTTTTAAAACAGTAATATAAAAAAAGTTTGTTTTCCTTTGTAATTTTATATTGACCCAGGTACATCTGAATTATCCTTGACACAGTCTAGACAAACTTTTAAAACAGTAATATAAAAAAAGTTTGTTTTCCTTTGTAATTTTAACTATCATATGAATTAGAAAGCGCTATGTTTTTTCCTTAAAGATACTTTGTCAAGAACTGATGTGCTCAAAAACAGGGCTAGTCTAGAGGCTCAATGATTCTTCTTAATTTCCTGTGATTTTGGATGCTGCATGTTTTAATGTCTTTGCTCGGGTTTCCAGGCTTTCTTTGATGATCATGAATCCTGAGAATGGGCAAGGCATGTCACACTATCCTATCCTGCCCATGATGGTTGTGCTCTATAGCATGCTCTGTTTTATATTACCTCAGTGAAAAAATGGGCAAAGAAAAGGAGACAAAAGCAGCAAATATAGACAGTAATAACTTATCCCTGTATAAAATGGGTGAGAACGGTGGAATCTTACAGTATTTTGTTCGTAATTATTTGTTGTTTGTAARAAGGTCAGTCATGCTTTTTTGTTTTAGGTTTTTATATGTGTTTTTATTTTTTTTWAATTTTTTTTCCAAATGAAGTTACTTAAAATTCTGGCCTGAGTCTGAATTTACTCTAAGTGTTTTGAGATGTGATACTGCTGATTATGTTCTCTTTTTGATAGTCATGTTTTCTGCATGTGTACTGTGTTCATTATACTTTTGTGGATATGTATGTATGTACACTAGCGACTGACAGAATTTGGGCCAAGGTAGTTGGGTCAAAAGAACACTTAGTGCAGTGATTTCCTGACCATGGAAATAAATGACTTTTGTTAGCAGACAGCAGCTGTTGTATGGGTCCCAAACTGTAGCCTGGGTCACTTTACTTGAGAGGAAAGAAGCCAAGATGACTTTTCAGACAAATGAAAACCACACAGTGAAGTATATGTGCTTTGGTCACAGTGGGAGACTTCAAATAAGACGAATGAGCGCTTCATTCTGCTTGTCAGTCAATAAGAAATTTATAAAAATAAATGCTTCATTCTGCTTGTCAGTCAATAAGAAATTTATAAAAATAAGCGCTTCATTCTGCTTGTCAGTCAATAAGAAATTTATAAATGGAAGTAGTAGTTTGACTGTCTACCTTTCTTTTTGGTTCTTGTCTTCCATAATTGAAATTGAAAGAACTACCAAGTCAGGAAGCACATAATAAAAAYGTCCTTTCTCATTTTATTCAAAAACTCCAAGTGGATTCCCATAACAAGTGTTCCTCCTCCAGATAAATTATTAATGCTATGGGGAATACATTTTTTTGAAGCATCTGTGTGTTGTGTAAGACTAGTTGATGCTGCCCTTTCACAAGCAAATGGCTAACCTTCTTGAAGCCAAAGACAAGTCTCATTTGCTACCCAAATAATTTAGCTACTACTCAAGACTAGAAAAATGTTTAACTAGTTTAGATTCAAGTAGACTAATGATTTGTACTATAGTCAGAGCAGTCACAGACTGTTTGTTAAATAGCTGCATTTCTTCAGTTGTGCTGTCTTCAAGATAAAGTATTAATATCAAATGGATGACACATGGTTATCTTTGTCATAAATTGGTAGATTCCCTCCTTCCCCTTGTCTCCCCCCCAGAATAAAAAAACTATTTTTTTGTAATTCAAACAGGTCAATAAAAGAAATTTTTTAATCTTGTAAATTTCTTACATGATTTTAGATTTCATTTCTCATATGAGCTGTTGATTTTAAGTATATATGTCAGAAAGATATTCAAAACACTTTGAATCCTACCACCATTGCTATACTGCTGAGAAAAGCAGTCAATTTTCYGAAACCTTCTATATTAAAATTTAGCAACTTCTAAATAAAAAAAGTATTCTACTTAAATTTTTTTTAAAAAAAAAAAATTACCCATCTCCTTTAAGTGGCATTTGCAAAAATTCTGTAAAACAAGGTTGTGCAGCACAAATTGTTAGTATTTCTAAAGAACAGTAAATTTAATATAGAATAGCAGTAGTAAGTTCTGAAATCAAACACCTCACGTGTAAAATGACACAATTAGGTCATTTAGAATGTCTTATGGAAACCAATTTGGTATTACTTTCAGATATATGAATTTGCATTCATGAATACCAATGATTGTGATTGACATACAAAATAAAAAAAAAAAAAAGAAAAAAAAAAAAAGAAAATGATAGCACAGACTTATCTTCTGAGATGAGTGGTGCATCTAACGATATATCTAAGTATCTGTGGAAAGATCTGCAATGGAGGCTGTCTAAAGCCCAGAGCATGCTTTAGGATTACTTTCAGTTGTCCCTTGAGGGGTCTAGAGCATCTAATTAACAGTTCTCCTGGAATGTAGATGTGAGACATAGCACATAAGAAATCCTGTGTTATGTGAAAATAGGAGATGTTAACAGAGTAGTAAGGCTGTTGACTTGCTTCAAACTTTACGTAGATCTCAAACTCCGAAAAATATTTCAAATATTGTCAGAAGGTGTGAGCRTTTCAGCAACTCTACGAAATTAAATCTTTTACTTGACCCCAGCATATTTTTAGAACTGTAATAAGATGGTGGGATTTGCGGTGGTCTGTGAGTGAGTTTTAGATTGTTAAAACTGAGTTTTTAAGAGCTGGATAGACTCCCTGTGCCTGTTTGCATCAGGAGCACCATATCCTCATGAAAGCAATGTTAAACATACAATATTAGATAAGAAATCACTGTAGGATATTGTACTCTCCAGGAGCATAGGACACTTGTTCAAGTACCGAGCATATGAAACAACTCCATGGCTCGTCTGTCAGAATTTGCATCTTTCTGCAGCCTGAACTGTAATCACCCAAATAGATGTCTTCACTGAAGAACAACTCAAGCCTCAGTGACGTGTTATTTTTAGCCTTATTTTGGGCAGAATTTTGGGCAGAAATGTGTACACTCATATGATGCAAACCAGTGATCTGGTATAAACTCACTGTTAGAATTAAATCATTAAAAAAGGTTTTGATGACTTTACTTTGTGCTGCTAAGCTTTATGCTGGGATCACATATAATTGGTGTTCCTATAACTGGCATGCTGCTGGCCTAAATGCCATGCTTTGTATTCAGCAGAAATACAGCTGTGTGCTGATGCCTGATCTAGATTAAATTTGTACTACTGGCTGATTTTTAAAATACGTAAATACGGACCAGATAAGGATGTAACCAGCCATGATTCTTAGTTTATCACTTGGCTCATAAGTTAATAGCTAGTAGTCAGATGGTGAAGAACCTGGTAAAGAAACTTAAATAAAATCCTAGGTTAATTCTGTTCTAAACATATATTCTAAATCATTTTATATGAGGAGCGTGTGTGTCTGTGTTTATATTTTTTCTTAAGTTTTAGGTTTTCAGTGTTGTAAGACAATATATTTTCATGGAAAAGCAAGGAAAATAATGAAAGAGGTGTCCCATTAAAGAAAATAAGATAGAACTAGCTGAGAGAGGTATTCAAATGAATTAGTTTGTCATTTCTTTTTGTTCTCAGTTATCAGTAATCTACAGTAGTTAAGAGTTTATGCATAACTCTTGGAGAGTGTTATGCAAAAAGCTGAGAATTTTTTTTTCCTTTTTCATAGGGGATGTGTGTGACTCCAACCCATGTGAAAATGGTGGCATCTGTCTTTCGGGATTAAATGATGACTTCTATTCATGCGAATGTCCTGAAGGCTTCACAGACCCCAATTGTTCTAGAGCTGTGGAGGTTGGTAAGTGCAAACTTTAAACATTGGAATACCTATTTCAGTATCCCATTAGTTGTGGTTGGTGATTATCTCCTGAGTTTTGTGTAGTGGTTGATGCATTGTTTGTTATTGGTACCTTATCCTTATTTCTACATCATAGAAATCAATATTATTATTACAATACAGTTTAAAAAGTATCTCAGAAGTGCATCTGTAAAAAAAAATCCCATATAAAGATTCAGGGTTCTACTGAAAAAAAAAAAAAAAAAAGATAGTTGCGATTTAACCAATGTTCCTTCAAAATTGTTAAAATTCTTCTGTATATTCTTTAGCTGTTTTTAATGACTTGATCTCATTTCAAGCTTGATTTCTGTTAGTTTTAAGCCTAGGTTGAGACAGTAATTAGTTAATGATGCTAAGTTAGAAAAGCAATATGTGAGAAATCTTAATAAGGTATTATAGTCATTTAAAGAAAAAAAAACCTTCAAAATACTTACCTGGCTTGGGGCTGTAACTGATAACTAAATGACATTATAGACTGCAAGTTGAATGTGTTCAGATTTTGTAGTGTGCATATGCCTCAGAGTCACTGTGAACATGAATGGCAGCTGCAAAACATGCAGCAGATGAGAGCTCTCTCTGAGGAAAACTTAAGCAAAAGAGAACGCAGAGGAGAAGGTGGCAGAGAGCTCATTATGCCATGGGCCATCCCACTAGCTTCAGTGAAACAAGAGCTGCAAGCTGAGCAAGCTTATAAATTTCTCTGAAGTGGATACAAAATATATATGGTATAGCCAAATAATAATAAACAGATGCTACTGTTTAAATATCTATAGCTCCTATAGATCTATTTCTAGTAGTCATGGTGATTGTAATAAGATGATTTAAAAAAAAGATAGAGGCGAAGGCAGTGTCTCTTTCTTCTTTGTATTAAGAAAATAAGCTTTAACTGTGACTCTGGGCAGTCTCAATTCCCTTAACTGAAAGCCCTGCTTGCCCTGTGTACCTTTCTTTTGCTGGCAGCCAAAGTATATGAGAGTAGTCCTGCTTTTCAGGTATTGTATATCTTACATCCGTGTTTGTAATTCGTTGATCTGGGTTGCACTAATACGCCTCAATGTGTGCCAGCAGAGTGCTCACATTTTGTTTCTGCCAAGGCAGAAGGACAAAACCAACAGCTTAGCGGAGAGCCTAAGCTTTTACAGAGCCATCAGAGCTAATCTCAGCACCTTTCTAACACTAACATTCCTAAAGRTTTTTTATGTTTTTCATAATAAATAAGGGCCACAGATACAACTCTAATACACTGTTCTGGGATTAAGAATGTCTGTCTCTCTGATGAGATAAGTTTGGCAAAACTTAGTCCAGGAACTGGTGGAGTGTTTTCTTTATTTTTAAAGATCATATGACAGCATATTGTGATAGCTCCATTGCAATTTGCAATTGAGTATTAACAATGTATGTAGATTAACTGAATTCTTCAGTCACCTGTACAAAATCTTAATCTGGTGAGTAGAATAAAACATAAATGAATACAGCACATATGCAGACATACTGCATTTTTAGTTTGCAATACAGAAGGAATAATGAGTGGACAACAATTAATGAAGTGTTTATTAATATTCTTTTTTAGCTCATAAAAGGAAGGGTTAATTTGGTTTCTGTTTTTACTGCTTGCTTATGCTATGTGTGCAAGCTGAGACTGACTGTAACTTTCTGAGAACTTTAGAAATAGTTTATGTGGGAGAAAAGAGTAGAAAAGTGTTTCCTGTTTTCTAGTAAAGGCTTTCTGAGGTTAATGCAACATTAACTTGCCCTACATAGTTATGAAACCAATGCAAAGCTGATATTCCAAAATAGTACTCTCATTTCTCCTATGAAAATGGTAACAAATAAGGTAAGCCACGTAATTATGTGTCAGTCAGACTCGGGTGCTTTGAACTCTGTAGTGCTTCAATTAGATAGTTGTTGAAAGGTCGGTCTGGTAGGAACCAAGCAAAGTGTTGCAAGAGTCTATGTGATCACTTTGAGACTGCTTTTTAGAGGATGTAAGATTGGAGAGGCAGTGCTAACAAACATTATGTCCTTTTGGTTTTTTAATGASTTATTGCCAAGTAGTTATTTCTCTTATCCTGTTAAAAACTCAAAACGCTTTTTTTTTGACAATTTTCTGTAGCTAAACATAGTAAGCTGGTGGAAAATGCACATTTAAGAAGTTAGGAGACACAGAATAAAAAGAAATTGGGGGGGAGGGGAAAGAGAAGAATCTGTCATTTATTCYCTTTTCTTGTTACAGTGCTGTACAGCACGCGTGAAAGGCAGGTGGATGTTCTGTAAAGCCCTCTCATTAGGTGCACCACCCTTAGACATTATTCACTGGTGGTGACGGGGTACTATTGATCTCCAGACCTAATCTGGAAAATCACATTTTCCTCAGACAGGAGGAGTTCACAATAACATATAACAGAAGTTTTACATACTGAATCATGGAGTCAAATGAGTGAATTAATAATGAAATGCAGATGTTGTAAGTTAGTATAAAAGAAGAAAGATGCATAAAAATACATGAAGTTAAGAAAATTAAATCTCTTACCGAAGTTCAGCAATCAAGTTTCAAGACAGTGTGGGCGCTGTATGTATGTTCAAGGGCATGAGAATGTAATGAGAATTGACTTAATAAAGGTAATACATAAAGTAATYTGACATAATCATGGCATTTAATTTCAGGCTAATTCTCACTGGTACTTTTTCCTAAATTTTATCCATGGTTGGTCCTGACTTCACTGTCATACAACTCTACTATTTTTGATTTTATTTAGGTAGTCTAACTCTAAGCTGTTTATATGTTTCAAGTTACTAATCGTATTTTGATCATACYCCCCCTCTAATAGTAGTTCTGCCTTATTTCTTATATTACCTTGTACTAAATGTTATACATAGACCTGTGAAAAGACTTCAGACTGAATGATAGATATATAATATTACCCTGTTTGTAATAGCCAGGTAGTTTGAATGGTTTTTGTATTCTAACTGATTCCAAGTGTCTGATAAGCTGGTGAAGGATAAGACGGAAAGAGGCAGGAAAAATTGCATTCTGATTCTTGACAATACAGTACATCCTGCAGTGAGGCAGAAGAGGATTTAGCTAAACATGTAGAAGCAAAAGGTAATTTTGTCAAACTTCACAAATATTAGGATGTTTTCCAAAATACTGAGGACACAAGGGCCTGAATTACTTCCATAGCAGAYACTTGTATCATTGGCAATATGAATTTGTAATACTGATATTAAAATGCATTACAGGCACCGAATTGACAGAGCTGATATTTAGCTGACATCTTGCAGAAACAGTGTAAATTAGAGTACTGTAAACTTCTGCTGTGTGCAATGAACAGAACTTGTATGCACTATTCAGGAAAATCASGAATGTGATGGATGCTGCTTAAGGGCAGAAATGACAATGTGACAATATACTTTGAAATTACATTGGGGAAAATATGCGATTGGGTCKGTGTACTGTTCTGTTTGGTGTATACAGAGGGGAAACACAGCAAAAGAAATACAGGACTGATGGTGAGAGCTGCAGAAAAGGGCAGTTTAGTATGCAACAAGGCTGTCAGAATGTATTCAATAAGTGACCGTGCTGTTCATGTTTGAAAAATGAGCAACTTGATACTTTTGATATTTCACATCTGATACTCAGTAGGTTTCTCTGAGGGTAAAATGAAGAACAGGTTTAATCTGCATAAGAGAATAAATGGTATATAACAACAGAAAGTTGGAAGAGCTGCAAGCAGATCAGGGTGTACCTGCAAACGGCCTTGAAAGCTGCCTTCTGGTAGGCTGTTGAGACCCTTTCAGAAGGTGTTTTTTTCACCTTTGCATCAGCTCTCAGCAGTCATTGAGAGGAAGTCAGTATTGAAAAAACATGGTAAAACATCTACACATATTCCAAAAAGATGGAATTGGTATGGTACACATTAATGGTATAAAGGTATGATGCACTTGTTGTAGACAACTTCGGGTCTAAGTGCAGGATGGGAACTGACAGAAGGAAGGAGAGCTGAAAGGAAAAAGGATGCCAAGTTTTGTTTTGTTTTTGTTCTGTCAAGTGATTTTTATTTATAAAAAAGGGAATGTGTGATTCCTTGTTTATCATACTGTTGTGATTTCCGTATCTGTTCAGCCTTTCCAGTTTCTGAGGGAAGTTCTTGCTTTGACAGCTGCTATATCTGTTAACTGAGCCTGGAAGACAGGAATCAAAGGGATTTTTCATGGTATGAAATAAATGTTCAGCAACCAAGATTAGACCSGGAGTGAAACTGCTATGATCTCTTGTCTTTGTGGCCTTTTCTATATGATCTGGGTCTCTGCATTGCTTGTACYGACTTCTCCCACTAACAGGGCAGGATCTTGTTAGCAAAAGTTTGTAAGGGTGAAATGTTCCCATTGGTTTCCCATTAGTCTTGCACATTCTTTTTAAGGATGTGAGCAGAAATGAATGAATGATTTCAAAGATGCATTTATAGTCCCAGAATACATGRCTTCAAGGTAGAATGGATTTTGTTCATGCTTAAGAGGAATTTCCTGTGTTTCAGCATCTGTCATTTGTCTCTCATCCTGTCACTGGGTGCAAGCGAGAAGAGTGTGGCTCGGTCCTTTATATTCCCCCATCCTGTCAGGTATTAATGCACATTGAGATCCTCCAACCCTTCTCTTCTCCGGATTGAACAAACCCAGCCCTCTTTAAACTCTCCTCACTTGTCGAATGTTCTAACCCCTTACTCACCTTAGGGAAATTGATCATCTCCCTCGCCCTGCTGGCAGCACTCTGCCTAATGCAATGCTGTACTCAGTGCAGATTGCCCAGAATACTGGAAAATGCTTTGCCTGTAGGCTCCATGTTTCAGCATTTGTTCTCACTGCTGTATTTTTAGTGTCATCCAAATTCACTACATTTATTACTATMATGACCATGCCTAATGAAGTGGCTTGGTCATAGTGTCTCTCACTGCTAACTTGAA